AGGAAGGCTGCCACCCCCCACCCACCCCACCCCACGGGAGGGGACGGGGATGGCGTCGCACGGATTCCGTTTCCTGTGAGTGGGGCGACCGCGGTCCGCAAACTCTCCGCGCTTCGTGGGGCTCCTTTGGGTGCTCGAAGAGCTGCGTGAAATCACGGCTGCCAAGCCAGCATGATGCTCGTGAAATGATGGGGGGGTGGGGGGGTTGGGGAACCCCAAAGACGAAGGGAAAAAAAAAAGAAAAGGTAGGAAGTACCGAAAAAAAAGAATAGTCTTGCATGTTGCCTCTGCACTATAGAAACTGGGGGTGTGACTGAACATCCAGACCACCTACACTCCGGGGATGCCACCCAATCGCGGTCTGGGTGCTTTGCAGAACTCCTCCCCTCTCGTTTTGGCTAAGCAGAGACCTTTAGAGAAACTGCCTGTTCTGGCTCATACAGACCGCAACATATAAAAGCTGTTAGCAGCTCCTGTGGCCAGAAGCTTCAAAACCAGCAGAGTTTTGTTCTTTGGGGGTTTGTAATAAGAGACACTCCACAAAGGTTCATATCATCATATAGGAGAGTGCTATATATACTGGGAGAACAATAGATTTTATTCTTTTTTTTTTTTTTTTTCTTGGTATTATCCAGAGGTAAGCCATTCAGCTCAATAAGTTTGCTTTGCATGCAGTTTTATCAGTGCTCATCAGATTTTGCTGAAGTTAAGATTTGAATGCTATTTCTAAGATGTCATGCTTTCATGCTGTATATACTTTCTTTTGCCTACTAGTTTATCTGAGCCACATTGTGTCAAAACAATCCATATTTGGATGGATAGGCATAGCCTAGGATGTATTTTTCATTTTCCGTGGAAAACATTCTATGAGGTTTCCTGCAGACTCACCATTTAAGATTTATAGCATGGTTTATGGACTGATCTGGTGTGATAGCACTGTCACTATTCCAGGAATCGTACTAGCTCTGATCATGTAATACATGGTATAATGATACTTCATTTGGTGTGTTTGTATTAAGAACATATCACTTAATGATAATATGGTTATGGAAAATTGCTCAGTAACGTGTTCTGACTCGATTGATTTTATGCTTCTGATTTATGAGCTGACAGACAGAATCATTTTTCTGATCACAGCCTGCCAGTTCACTTTGTCTTGCTACCCAGATGTACAGAATCACATCTTTGACATCTTCTCTTCTACAGATCTGTTTTCACTGCCCTGACTTAAAGCAGAGTACCTCTGTGGCCTATCTTTCTCCTTTGGCCCCAAAATGACAGTAATCACTGCAATCAGTTGTGCTTTCTTATTTTCCATTCTCTGTGAAACAAGTGCATTAGTGTTACCCAACTCCACTGACCTACTCCTGTCAGACAATAATTTCACTGACATTGAGACGGCTTTGGCAGCTCATCTGGACTCTGCAAAAGTACCCAAAGCCAGGCGGAAGCGCTACATTTCACAGAATGACATGATTGCCATTCTTGATTATCATAATCAAGTCAGAGGCAAAGTCTTCCCACCTGCTTCCAACATGGAATATATGGTAAGTGAACTTTGTTTATTTAAGAGTAAACCAAACTGTAAGTCAGTGATGTAATTTTTTAAAACAAATTGTAAGCATTTAGTTAAGTAGACAAATGATTTTTAACTATTATTGCTTACTACAATGTTCTTTCCTTACACTTTTTAAGTTTCATTAACATACGCAAGCAAAAGCTAAATATTGAACTCTGAACCTTTTACTTGCCCTGTTGAATTTTCATTTCTGTGAGTAGTCCCAATGAAACTTCTGGGACCCAAGTAAATGAAGTTGTGGGCTAATTGCTTGTTGGCCTGAGGAATAGTATGTGATCACAACACGTGATCACATGTGTTGAAAGTGCTAATCATCTGTAGTCCCATTGCTTTTGTGGGGTACCCTGAAAGTCATCGCCCTGATGTATACAAAAAGGTAGCCAATGACCATTTCTAATTTCTTTCACACTTAATACTTTCGGAGACAATATGGTAAAACTGTGTTTGCAAACTAATTCATTTGATGCACGGTTTGTCTCAGGCTCATGTGTTTTACTTACTGCATATTGTTTGTGTGCACCTAATACTTTTATTTTTCCATCAAATACAATGCTGCTTTTAAATGTTTCTCTAGTATGTAGGATTTCAGTGTGCTCAAAATGTTATGTTTGTGGCAAGGACTTTTTCCCCTTATTGGCAAATACTCATTATGTGAATTATCTGTTCCTGCAGGTATGATAGAAGTTATTCATTCACTGTGATTTCATACTTGGCACTGCTAGCTAAGGCAATGTTTGTTATTTTGTGTTCCAACTTTGAATGCATGCATACTGTGGAGCTCTAATGTTAAACATAGGTTGGCCAAGCAAAATTTTTTTTACCTTCTAAGTAAGGTATTCACACTGTTTTGAAAGCACAGGCAAGTTGTGTCAGCACCATAATAGCTGCTTAAAATCACAGAGTTTCTCATATGACAACAGATGGTTAACAGGTTTGAGAAAAAGGACACCATGAGCTTGACATAAAAAGGGGATAACAGTAATAACAACTCCTCCTTTTTAGCAGCTAATGACTAACAATTTGGACATCTTTCTATCACAGATGTTACTTAAATCTGGATTTGATCACATAAGCCACTTAGCCCATCCCAGCAGCACCTCAAAATGCTGAATGCACTCAAAACATTGCAGGATGAAGACCGGTTACCATACCATAGGCTGAGTTTGAAGTTTGGTTAAGTGGAAAGGTCAGAGACAGAAAAAACAGAGAGGTCAGAAGTCAAGCTCAGTCATCATTTTCATTGCTGTGCTCTCCACTGACGTTTCCTTTGATTCTGCATAAATAAACTTTGTTGTAATGTCTGAGGGAATGGCAGCCTACCATGCCCTTCCTTGGCTTGTGTGTTTTAGAAATGTGCTCCTGCAGTTTGCTTAAGTGAAGCCAGCGCCCTGTCATATTCCCAAGAGTTTTGTAAGTGCAGTGTTTTTAGCCTGTTCCATAAAAAAAAAAAAAAAACCAACCAAAAAACTACTTCAAAAGAGAAAACAAGCTTGCTTTATTAGATCTATTTCAAGGCACTCATATGCATAAACTGCCAAGATTTTACCTATATTGATTGAGTATTCTGATGCAGTTTTGCTCTGCAATGGTGTTGTGCAAGGTTTGATACAAAATCAAGACTGAAGTCATGCTCTTTACAGCTTACATGCTATTCTTTTCCTTGCCCTTCTTACTATTGCTTTTACCAGTACCAACCAGCATAGGCTGTACCTGTGTTCCCATCAGCATCAGCATCAGTGGTCTCAGGACAAGGTCTGAGGCTTTCTTTCATGTTTGGTTTCCCAGTCCGAAAGTACTTTGTGACTTCATACTGCAGAATTCAGAGCAGCACCTCAAGCTATGTGGGTAATGAGCCAAAGCGCAACTTGAACTCGTATCCCCAAGTGGCAGCCAACCCCTTTGTCACCAATTCTCTTTCAGAATTTAGTCAGTATGTGTATGCCATGTAATTTTACAGAGCAAAAAAAGCCCAGCGAGCACATAGCTTGCTCTGCCATCTGCTTTGTAGTCATGGCAGCACATATTTAACTTTTTACCTCTGTGGCTACAGAAAAGTTTTGATAAGAAGATCTTGAAGATGACATGGTGCTGTAAGCAACCCAAGGCTTGGGCACCTCATGTAGCAGTAATGCCCATTTGAATTTGCTTAGTCCATTCTTTGGTGTCTGTATAGTTTCAGTGTATGGCAGAGCACCTGTTGTGTCTTTTGGGGACATAAGGTTGCTGCTGCGACATATAAAAGATACTGTGTCACTCAGTACTCATTTTCATAAATAAGACAACAAACACATTGTCATTAGCAGCAGACAACATGAACTGTGCTTGAAAGAACCTTACAGAGTGTGTGTTCCTGTCCTGAATACTATGGAAAAGTGCAATGGTAGTAATGAAAGTGGCCTTTCCCATTTCCACTAACAATGACTAAAAAGGATGTCACATGTTAGAGAGCTGGAATTACTTACAGATGTAGTAAATTGTGGAAAACTCTTGTAAGTGTGTTGAAGTAGAGAGGGACTAAGCAGATTGGAAGCACAAGAAAAAGACATTTTCTCGTCTTTTCTCTGTCCACAGTCATATTAAATTGTGTTTGTTCTTTTTCCTAATTCTGTTAGGAGCTCTGTTCTTCTTGTGAGTTGCTGTGGCACATTCTCACTTCTGTGCAGTTCCATTTGCTTTTACATCTCCACTGGTAAGAGCTCAGGGTTTAGCTGTACGGGTCGGTTCTTGTGATTCTAGTTCTCCACACTCAACCTTTTTTGGGGCTTTTCTCCTTGACATGTTCTGTTCCTGGTCCTAGTCCTGGTGGACAACAGGATGACCATGAGCCAGCAATGTTCCCTGGTGGCCAAGAAGGCGAATGGCATCCTGGGGTGCATCAAGAAGAGTGTCACCAAGCAGGTCGAGGGAGGTCATCCTCCCCCTCTACTCTGCCCTGGTGAAGCCGCATCTGGAGTTCTGTGTCCAGTTCTGGGCTCCCCAGTTCAAGAAAGACAGGGATCTGCTGGAGAGGGTCCAGCAAAGGGCTACAAAGATGATTAGGGGATTGGAACATCTCTCATATAAGGAAAGGCTGAGGGACTTGGGTCTCTTTAGTCTAGAGAAAAGAAGATTGAGGGGGGATCTTATTAATACTTACAAATACTTAAAGGGAGGGTGTCAGGGGGATGGGAGCAGTCTTTTTTCAGTGGTGCCCAGTGATAGGACGAGGGATAACGGGCACAGACTTGAACACAGGAAGTTTCATCTTAACATGAGGAGGAACTTCTTTACTTTGAGGGTAGTGGAGCACTGGAACAGGCTGCCCAGAGAGGTTGTGGAATCTCCCACTCTGGAGACATTCAAAACCCACCTGGACACCATCCTGTGCAACCTGTTGTAGGTGACCCTGCTTTGGCAGGGGGGTTGGACTAGATGATCTCCAGAGGTCCCTTCCAACCCTGACCATTCTGTGATTCTATGATTTTGTGTTCCTTCCCCTGATGTAGTCTGCTTCTCACACGTTCAGTGCATTTATAGATACTTTGAACTCCTTGGGCATTATTCTGTCTGCCCCTACTGTCTTGAAAGTTTGTGTGCTGTAGGACTTCAGATGAGAGGTCTTGAAGAACATCTTTGAATGCACACACGTTCGGCTGGGAAGGTTCAGATGAACACTGCAGTAACAGAGCTGGGGGAGTGTTTTCATTCTCTTTGTGAGAAGTGGGTCTCAGTGCTGCTCCAGCCTGCTGTTGTGTGCAGTCCCCAATGTAAGTGGACAGCTGGGGAGTCAAAAGCAAAGATGGGAGGCATTGTTCTGTTATCAACACCTAGCAAAAGAAACAGGCGTGTCTTACGCTAATGAGACTGAGTAATTTTTCTCTTGGGGTAGTAGCACCTTATGAGTCAGACATTAAAGTAGTCCTCCTTTTGGTCCTGGTTCTGGTATTGCTGATGCCTTCAACTGGAAGTTTTTCTGCAAGTACAGTACATATGTGAAGAAAAGTGAAAGACAAAGGAAACAACTCCTATAATGTAGAAGTAATGACCTCTTTTTTAAATGGGGGTCTTCTTATGATACCCTTCATTCTTCTTCATCCTAAGACTGTCATTCGCCAGTCTTTGCTTGTGCTCTAAAAGCTGATGCCATACCTGCAGAAAGAAAGATTACACCATCCTTTTGGCCTGGCAAAGGGTGAAAATCATCCACTTGGCTTTGCATACTCTTTCTGGAGAAAGCAAAAAGGTTCCAGAAAATTCATGATTCAGAAGAAGTGAGGTGTAGAATTGCCTGCAGCTCTCTAGTGTGAAAGGTATGTAAATCTGCAAATCCAGGGGAAGTCTGTGAGCAAGCAAATCCCTTTCTCTGAATGCTAATTCTGTACTGCAGAGGCCTATGTTGCCTTTCTGGAACATCTCAGCTACTTGGTAGGCCAGCAAAAATTTGCGACATGTTGCCAGCTGAAATTTGAGTCTCATAAAACATGTCATTTAATAAGCATTGGTACTCTCTTTAGGCTCTCAAAACACTCATTAATGAAATACCTGTTCTTATGAGAATCAAATGTTGTTTTTACCTTCCTTGCAATCCTCCCCACTTGAGGCCAGTTTCTTACAAGTCCATATGGTCTTTGTTGTAACCCATGTCACTGTGTGCATGCAAAACCTGGTGGAGCAGGTGCTCACACACAGACATGCTCTTTATAGTTTCACGTGCACCTAGCAGGCTGATGAAGCTGGGCCTTAATGAGCATTGAACACTGTTCTCCATGGTATTCCCATAGGCAAAGTGGGAAAATCTGTTCTAGTTAAGCATACTTTAAGGTGATCTAAGTAACTTGTTAAAGAGCCATACTGAAAGACAAGCTGTGAGTAGTTCACTGCTGGCTCTGCAAGGATGAGTCCTGAGCCCAGTACTGATCAACATAGTCATTAGTAGACTGGCAGTAGCATGTCTGGAGTATAATAGATGGGGCAGGATTGCACACTGAA